AAAAGAAATAGGAACACAAACATGTAGTCTTCACTCTGAAATAAAGGTGCGTTTTTAAGTTGGACTCCCAGAGCTGGAGGAAACTCCAGAGAGATAAGTAAGACACTTTGCATATTCTGCTTGGTGGTGGTGGGGAATGAGGAAAGGGTAACCTAAGAATTAGCATTTCTCTGACTAATCTGCAAGGAATACAATGGTTTTGTCTGTGACCAGATTTTACCACACTTAGTGTGAAGCAAGAATAGATTTTACCTGCTTCAAAAGAGTATTTCTGCACATTGGCTAATCCTTGCTTGGTTTCCATTGGGTTGTGTTTCTGAGGATCCCCACAGGGTTCCTGAGGTTCCATCCCGCCCTGCCGTGGGTCTCAGCACAAACACATTGTGCTCTTACCACAAAAAGCGTTCATCAAACACCTCTTGTTTCTTTGCTCTAGGAAATGATGCAGGAAACTTTCTCTTGTCACAGGCTTAAGTTTCATTCTTAACCTTCCTGGAAGCTTTATTCTTGAATCACGTTTTTGCCCTTTGTATGACCTTAGGAAATCACACAGCTTTTACAAAGGAGCTATGGTTGCAACAGGTGCTTTGTAAATGTCCTTTTAGTATTTTATGGGTTCTAAGCACACCAGATGAGGAAGGCAGCTTTCCCCCTGCCGTTGGCAGCTGTGTGCTGAGGGCATTTAAGGGAAAACCAACAAATCTGCTCTGTGCTTTCACCCTCAGCTGGTGGGTGTGAGGTCTGGGGGTTGCCATGCTGCAATGGTTTTTACCAACTGGGGCTGGGATCGTGCTGCCAGTGGCCTGAGAGTGGTCTGGACCCCAGAGCATGGAGACAACGATGGGGGTGTTCCTGGCACCTGCCCATGGCAGATCAGCCTGCACCGTGGGCAATTTGCTGTGATTCAAACGAAAACTCCACTGCTGGATATTGCAGAATGCATTTTTGGTGCTGGGCAGACTCTGCAAGTTCATCACCTAGACAGAGAGGTCCTGCAGCCCCACTGCATCAGGCTCCAGTTGTTACACACATGAGGTCATTATCACAGCTCTTCTTGCTCAGTCCCTCACTGATTATCATTAAGGAAATCTTTCATGAGGGAGTGAAGCCACTGCTGAAGTTCAGCCCTGGGGATTGCCGTGTCCTGAATTGGATTCAGCTGCACGCTGAAAAATGCCTCATTCTGTGCAGCAGCTGCAGGAGTTAGGAGGAAATCAAATACCTTCTTCTGGATTAAGTACTGTAAAATCTCTCAACCCAGGCTTTGTGATTATTGGACTTCTTATTGTTTATGAAGTAAAGGATATTACTGTCAACTCTGGTGTTTGATTTTTTTCCCTTTTAATCAGTGTCTGTTTATCTATTTAATAGAAGTCTAAAACCTCTTTGTACTCTTAAAATCAGCTTTTAGCAGCTGGCCTTTTCATTAGAGGTGCTGATAGGTTATGTGCTATCACATAAGGTGACCTCCAAGAACAGCAAAGGGCAGGTTTTGATCCTGAAGGTGATGGGGGAGAAGTCTGAGCTCTCATAGCAGCATCACTCCCAGCAAATGCCCCCCTCTGCCTTGCCCATGGTACAGCACCTTCCTTCTGCTCTCTGTCTTGCAGCTACAGGAGCTCAAGTGTGCTCTGAGGACTTTTTCTCTCTGCCTTTCCCTAGAGAGTTTGCAGGGGATCACTGAGTCCAGCAGTTCCTACCGTGTTGGACATAAAAAGATAAATGCATGAGTTCAGGTCTCAGCTTGAGCAGCTCAGACCCAATCCTATGTGTAGAAGAGGATGTTTGTAACACGGGTTTGGTTTTTTTTTCATCCTTGTGTATTTGAGATGACCACTGCTTGTTGGGGTTTGGAAGAGGCTGCTGCAAGGCTTGAGTTCTGGCTCTTGTGGATGTAGGACTGGTTCAGATGTTTCTCTCACTCTGTCTGTTTGCCCTCCAGTTCAATACACCAATTAAAAGTTATTCCTGGTTCATATGAAATGAAAAGAAAATTCCTTGGTGTCTATTTCATATGGACATTTTTACACATGGAAAGTTGTTTTTGCTATTGAAATACGGCAGGGAAAGCTTCTGGGCCTTTGTGCAGCCCTGCAGCAGCACCAAATGAGCTCTGCTCAGTTATCAGACTGCAGGCTTTTAGAGGCAGCTGCTCTGCTATTGCTCTCATGCTCAGGCAGAGGCAGAGGTAATTGTGGAGAAAAATCCAGGTTTTGCTGCTTTCTCAAAGCTGGACAGTCCCCTGCTATGTATTACCTGCTATTTGATGATCTCTTTTGTACCCCATAAAGCAATCAAAGACAAATTAATTGCTGTATCTCAAAAACTGCGTAAATATACACTGATGATGCAATGACAGCTCCTGATACTTGGAGTCAAATGCTCTCCTTCCTGGCAGTCATTTCTGACTGCTGTTAATAGTTACACACCTGCGGGTACTGATTCTAGGCAGGATGGTGTGGAAGTAGCAGGAGACACAGTAAGCACAACACAGTGTTGAGGAGATGTGTGCCCAAATGAGCCCACGCAGAAGTGGAGTTAATAGATTCTTTTGGACCGTTCTCCATCTGCCCCTGCAGGCGTGACACTGACCTGCCATGGTTTTGGAGTGATTTGAGGGTGCTCTAGGAGCAGTACCACGGGCACCAGTTTTGCTCATGCTTTGCTTTGAGATCCCTGTCACCAAGCAGTCTATCTCAGAACATCAGCTCTCCATGCAGTGGGGTGGATTGCCAGCCCCAGGTGATCCTAAGCCTCCACATAGTCTCACCCTTATGTTGTGGCGCTGAGTGATGCTTTCTGTATCTCGCTTCTGCTTTACAGCCACCCCTCTACATGATTGCACTGAGAGCTTTGAAATGTGGCAAAGCTTTTGGAATTGTCAAACACAAGGCCATTACCTACTCTTCTTGCATTACTGGCAATCACAGTATTTACATAGAATGAAAATATGTCTAAACTTCCTCCAGCGGTTTGGTACGTGTTCAGAGTTCAGATTTTCTGAAGACTTCAACTGTCTCTGGCTTTTTCCACTTAGGGTAAACAGTTTTACACCTTTACACTTTTGGAAATACACTGAGTTTGTGTTTGCTCTGGGACAGAAAACCAACACGGTGTGTTTTGCTTGGTGTTGGCCACTCAATGGCACCAGCACACATGACCCCATCCCGGAGCACAGTTGTGCTGCTGGAGGAGCTGCCATTTCCGTTGGTGGCTTGCAAATGCTAACAGTCATAAAGAACAATCCCTCTGGATGCAAAGATCTCCTTCTCTCGCCACAAAAGCCAGCCAGGTTTAGCAGCACGTGACTTTGCTGACCAGCTGCAAGCAGAGATGGAGGATCTAACCCTCGTGCAGCAAGTCTGCCTTGTATCCGTGTCACCCTATCAGCCGGGGAGTGTCCAGAGAAGGCAGGGAAGGGGTTTTCCCACCAGATGCATGCATGGGACTGAAGTGCTTGCTGTACAACTTTTCCTTAACAAAGGAGACCAGGGGTCCAGCAGCAATAGATCAGACTTCACCAACACACTTCCTTTGTCCCCAGCCGCTGCCACCCAGCAGGCAGGGGCAGCCTCACATGTTTTCATGAAACCAAAGCCCTAATTAGTGTATTTTCTAGCTGCTCCGAAGTCATTTTGTCTGACTTCCCAATGGGATTCTGTATCAGCTGATTGTGATTTTTATTTTTTTTAATAGATGAAAGGTACTCTGCACCTGTTGCTAAGGGATTTAAGAAGCCCAGTGTAATCAGAAAATGGAAGGGAAGGCAGGGCTGAGCCTCTCCATTTGGGCTCCAATAATGATAATGATTCAATTCAGGCTTCATCAAAGAGGGGAGAGCGGGCAGGGCAAGCGGCCAGATCACACAGATGCCCCTAGACCAAGCCATAACCTGAGGCATGCCACAGCCACAGGTCAGGGAGAGGACGGCCTTCCAGGGCTGTAATTACCAACCAGGCAGTGCCTGAGGGCAGCAAGGAGCAATTGCTGCAATGAAGCAAATCCATCTCCTCGCTCAGCTTTTCCCACCAGGCAGGCTGTGCTGCGCAGTGCTGGCTGCCATTGCTGATCCATAGGCCTGGGGCTCTCCTGGGAGTGGTTCTCCACCTCCCTGTCTACTGCATTGAGTGCAGGTGGATGCCCAGGCCTGAGGCAGGACCTCAGGGTGCTTTAGGTGCATGTTTTCACATTAAAATCTTTGGGATTTCTTCAGTTACGCCCCTGGGACCCGTTCACCCTTTGCTGTAGCAGTGTAAGCATCAGTGTCTCCCATTTCTTTCTGAGAGCATACGAGTGTGGATAGGGCTACCAGGGCTCCTTTTGGAGTCGAGCACCTTTTACTAAACAGGTAGGAATCACTCGTGAAGAAGAGAGATTTGTAGCAGCTGGCATGCACATGAAATCCTGTCTGATTTGTTCTTTACAACCATGTTCGTGATCAGCTCTGGGGACTGCTGTGATTGCAGCCTAAGCTGTTATGGCCACGGATGGCTCCCATAAGGGCGTTGGTGCAGCAGAGCCATAAATGCATCCGTTGAAGGAAACACAGTGCGCTGTCTGAGAACAGCTGCTGCTGCTGCTGCCCAGAGAGCTCTGCTAACGCCAGGGGGTGATGAACCCAGTGATAACAGAAACCCAAGGATGATAGAAACCCAGAAATGATGTACCTAGCGATGACAAACCTTCCTGGCAGCAGGGAGGACCATTTATAGGCACCGTTCTCTAAAGCATGCGATAAGATAAAGCGCTTTTCTCCAGCTCCCTGAACTATGCCCCAACACCTGTGCTCAGTATTTGCACATTAAAGACAGGGGAGCAAAAAAAAGGCATGCGATAATTGCAAAATGACAGAGTTTTTCCTCAAGCTGCTGGGCGGAGGAGGAAGCAGTGAAGGAGTGTGGCCCAAAGAGCCGGTGCCCTCCCTCCAGCCCACAGTATTTAAACGGCAGGAGGCCGTGCCCTGCTCAGCCTCCAGCTGCAGGACAGGCAGTGAGGGAAGATGAGCCGGTTCCCAGTGGATGTGAAGGCTGTAGGCTTGATGCAATGCAGAAAGCAAAAGGTATTTTAACCTGATATGGTTTTTTTTTTCCTTAAATGTTATTTATTTTTAGTTATTTCAGGAATATGCATGCTCATTAACCTTCAGTGTTATTAAAGTGTTATTATTTAGGACATGGGTCCCTTAGACTTGTTCATAATTGTTCAGCTCATAAGAAAGTGGTTATCTGAGAGACTGCTGTTTTCCTCTTCGCTGTTTCAGACTTTCTTTCTGTTTTTAATGCTCATTTGGGACCCTGAAATTAAGGAAATATCTTGGTAGGTTTAGTTTTTAATTTCATCTCTTACGTGACAGTCTGTTAGCCCAAACCAAAAACTAAATCACAGATCCTGTCAAATGCTCATTGCTTGAAAACATCCAGTATTGAACATCATGATAAGGATGCATTCTTTTTCTCTTCTATTTTCCCAGAAGTATATGATGTTCGTGTCCTGGTCAGATCAAAACAACATTCTCATCTACCGGACACTGGAAGAATTTAAGAGATTCCATGTAAGTGAATATCTCCCTGAAATAACATCCACATCCTGGGGAAGGAGGAAGGAGATCAGCATCCCTACTCACTGCTTTGTCTCACTTTTAGAAAGAACTGAAGAGAAAATTCCCCATTGAGAGTGGATCGCTCAGGAGATCTGACCGGATCATACCCAGGTTTAAAGGTAGGGAGGAAAACTCACTGAGGGATCAGCAGACACGACACAGCCATTGGGAACAGCTGTTGTGGATGACATAGACCTTAGTCACTAGCTGCCATTGACTTACAATAGCATAGAAACACCTGGTTTTGGGTATAAATGCACTTGGTAGATGAGTATTACACTTTTATTGGCTTGGGGCTCTTAGTAACATTTACAGATGAACTACAACAAATTTTAGATAGGCAAAAATGTTATCAGGAGCTATTTAAAACAAGGAGGCAGATGCAGCTGCATATGCTTTGGGTGGGGGTGCAGTAAGCGGGGCAGTGCTGTGCTCAGGCACAGCTGCTCTGATCCAGGTCTGCTACTGTCTTGGATCAACTTTGCTTTTGTTATTTTAAAGATATAAATGGGAAACAGAGGAAGAGTGGGAAGATAAGCAGGTCCCTGGAGCGACTGAAATTGCTGGAAACTTACTCGCAGGAACTGCTGAAAGTGGATGCTAAAATCTCCCAGGGTGAAGATGTGATTCAGTTTTTCAAGGCACAAACTCAAGACCTCGATCCCTGCTTTCCTGAAGACAGGTGTGAAATCCTATTTGTATTTTTTGTTTGTGTATCTCTTCGTAAAAACGTTGTAGAGAAATACCAGTTACATTTTGGAGCAGAAGAGCAGAGATGTTCTACCCAAATTTTCTACTGTTTTGATATCTAAGCTGCTCTTAGTCTACAGAATAATCATGATTTTACTGAAATTACTACTTGACAGCCTTCTATGGGAGCTTTCAGTAAACCAACATCAAACTTTGCTTTTCAGTGTTGTAATCATGCCATCAGAAATTGGAAGGGAAAAGAAGAAAGAGGTGCAGCAGCAGCAGCAGCAGCTTTCCATTACGTACCCTCAGGTGTCTCAGAGCTACCGATGCATTGAAACCTTTGAAACCAAAGACACAAAGAACAAGACTTTCAACGTCGCTAAGAAGGAAATTGTTGAAGTGTTACTGAAGGACATGACTGGTAGGTTTGATTCAGATCCTGCCATTTCAGGGATGCATGCTGAAAGATTTCTAGATTGATTTAAGGCTCGGCAAACATTAAGGCTGTAACATCAAGCACATGGGTGACGTTGGTACACGTAGGGTGTTTACCTGGATTTAAACAGGAGGAAACAAGTGGTCTGTTCTTTTCTAATCGAGGGATGCATGGGTCTGAGCTGAGACCTAGGACCTTATTCCCAGCAGAAAGCTTTTCGTGCTTTGCAGAGCCCAACACGTCTGCATGCTGCACTCTGGTCTGGATAGAGCTCTGCCAAAGTGCCAGCACTGAGCTGGTCCATGGAACATCTGCCTATGGCTCCTGCCTGTGCCCCTACACTGAGGTGTTATTGATCATCTCTCTGCTTTCTGCTGGCTTTACAAATTTTGTTCTACTCTTTGCTGCAGGGTGGTGGCTTGTGGAAAATGCAGACAAGCAGATAGCCTGGTTCCCAGCCTCATACCTGGAACAGATCAGTGTTCATAAGGATATCCAGAACATCAGGAATTCAGATGAGGAGGGTGAGTATGCTTCTGTGTCAAGGCATCAACTCTGGTTTCAAGGTCACACCTTGCTCATCCTTCACAGAATGGGTTCTGAGGAGGTTGGCAGAGCTCTTGCCCAACTTTCCCTCTGTAAGAAAACGCAGCCTTCCCTTCTGCCCCCAGGCAGCCTGTACTTTGTCATGCGGGCCTACGAGTCACAGAAAGCAGACGAGCTCTCTCTGAACAAAGGCGTGGTGGTGGAGGTGGTCAGGAGATCCGACAATGGCTGGTGGCTCATCCGGTAAGGAGACTTCTCCAAAGCTGGTTTGAGATGAATACTTTCCTCTTCCTGATGCCCTGTGTGCACACAAGCCTTGTGTGCTCCCCTACCTTTTGTCAAAGCTGGAAGAGTCCTTCAGTTCAGTGTTTCTTTTCCCCTTTCCTCCTCAGTTACAACGGGCGCACAGGCTACATGCCCTCCATGTGCCTCCAGGCCTACAAGAACCCCCACCACAGGCTGCAGACCATCATGGGCAGTGGGCTCCACATCTCCACACCCAACCTCTGCTCCTCCTTTCCGGCTCCCCAGCTCCTGCGAGACAGCACAGCAAGGGATTGCACCTCAGGGGATGGCAGTGATGAAGCTGTGAGCTCCTTGAGGAACAGATCACAATCTCTGCCCAGGGTCATTTCCACTCCAGATCTGGAGTCTGACAGCTCCTCGCTCAGCTCAGGCAGTGAACCCAGCAGTGTGCTGAGCTGGAAGCCGGACTTGTCCAGGTCTCTGCCTGCAGTGGAGCAGGCAGCGAGCCCAGTCCTTGGACCCACCTCAGCCACACACAGCAGCAAATCTCCACGCCTCACCCACAAGGACAGGAACGACTCAGGCTTTGTGGAGCCATCTGCTGCTGACCTAAACTCCCTCGCTGACTCAGAGGTGCCCACAGGTGCCCCCAAGGTGCCCACGCGTCCCTCGGCCCATGAGATCCTCCAGAGATGCAGCACAGTCACCAAGCGTGCCCTGCAGCAGTCAGCTGCCTGCCCACCCCTTCATCCCCTGCCCAGCGCTCACTAGGGCCCCATGCCTCACATTGCAGGGACTGCTGCTTTCTGAGTTTGCAGACGTGGTTTTGCTGGGTTAATGCTGTAGCATGCACGCCATGGCCAGGGAGCTTTAACCAGGGCACACGCTGTTACTGGCAGAGCTGCAGTAGGATCCAGCAGCTTCTGTTTAACATAGGTCACTTAGGGCTCAGTACCCTTCCTTAGACACATACTTATCCCACACCACCATTTATCAAAATGTCTCAATTTTCTTGCACGAATCCTCACTCTGTGGCTACCTGACAGTGCTGGAGAACAGAGGAGTGAAACCCATAGCTACAGACACGTGAACAGCATTTACCTGAATCCCTGGAATAGATCTAAGTTCTATTTAATTTTTTACTTTAAGGTTACATGAACTCAGGTAGCAGAAAACTGACCAGGCAAAAGCATGTGTGAATTGGCTGGACTCTGAATGGCTGAGGACAAAACACATTGGTAGTACCTAGGAATTTCATCTCTTACCTTGCCTTAATGGCATTCTGCAGGCATAGGGATAAAAAGGGCTGTAGTACAGCTTGTGTGCTGGCTGGGTAGTGTGGGTAGTGTGAGCCAGAGCTCCCAGTGATGAGCAAAACTTAAAGAGGGGGTTTGATAGCAACTGAAATTTACAGTACTTCCTATACTAAATTCATCTGCTAAAACTGAGTTAGAAAAGTGATAGATTTATATAGATTGCTGCCTTTAATTTTAGTTAGCCTTCCATTATGTCTGTTTTTGTTTTTTTTTTTTAAATCAGGCATTTTAGCCAGCTTGCAAGGTGTTTGTTTTGTTCTAAGTTTTATACACTTGTCTCTGAAATAAAACACATAAAAATATCTAAAAGGACTGTGTAGTTTTCGTACTCCAAAGACTTGCTTGTTGGAGAATTAAAATCACACCCATGTGCCTGCCAAGTGCTGCATTTGGGGCAGGAAAGCTGACATTCCTGCCTTGGCCCAGCCTACATTTTGCCCAGGTACACAGAATATTCAGTGCTTAGACAACACTGATCCATGCACACCTCCTAGCTAAACCAGGATATATAGTGAGGCCAGTTGTATCTCCCAACTCCAAGCCTTTACAATCCCTGTAAAGACAGCTCACTCACAGCCAGATTCTGCCTTTCCTTTGAACTGAGCACTCCTATCGCCCAGGCCTCAAAATCCAGGCTGTGAAAATACAAAGGGAAGGCACAACTTGCCCAAAGGAACAAATCCTTCCTTTCAATAAATCGCAAGGAGACCAAACAATGGTCTTGTTTTAGAAATTCAATTTAATTAAAAAAAAAAAAAAAGATATTATAAAATACAAAGTATTCCAGGTGCTGTGTGGTGGGAAAGCAGTTCGGGCTCCTGTCAGGAACCAGCAGCTGGTGAGGGAAGAGTCACAAAATCACATCCTCCTGATGTGACACGTCAGCCAGCTTCATGTTTTGCCACATGAAGTCAACGAACATGGAGGCCTGCAGCAAGCGGCTCAGCCTCTGAAAGTGGCGCTCTGCAAAGAAAGAAAAGTGATGGTTGGTATCACAAGGGGAGAAGTCTACCAGAAATGGGTACAGAACACCTCTCTTCTGTTTAGAAGAGAGCAGATGGAGCATTCACAACATAAGAGGAGACCTCACAGAGGCACAAACTGTGGAAAAACTCTCAGTCCAAGCCAACAAAGAGAGGCCACAAGGCACTACATCACACAACACCAGGATCTTAGAATGGTGCGAGTTGGAAGGGACTTCAGAGCTCATCTACTTCCAACAGCACTGCCACAGGCAGGGACACCTTCCCCTAGACCAGACTGCTCAAAGCCCCATGCAACCTGGCCCTGAATCCTTCCAGGGTTGGAAGATCCACAACCTCTGTATGCACACAGAGCACAATACAGGAAGAGAGTTCAGATCTCACATAAGCAGAAGGCAGCTGAGATTGGATACAATCAATTTCCACAGCACATCATTGCAGGCACCTCCCAGCAGCTCTGGGCTGGGTTAACCTGCCCACCGCCCAACTGTTTCTGCAGCACCGCTCACCAGTGTAAGGCAGCAGGGACTCCACAGCAGATTTAATGCCCGAGTACTGCAGGAGGTTGTCTGGTGCTTCATGCTTCAGGAGGGTTTCAATGACAGCTTGAGCCTCATGGCAGTTTCGAGAGTTCGTATTCCACGTCACCAAGAATGTTAACACCGCCTCTAGGGAAGAAGGACATCTGTGCACATGGGTTGGGCAAAAAAAACATCTCTCGTGTCAGAGATCAGCTTTAATTTCACTTCAGAAAATAAGCCCCAAATCTGAAAGGTTTTAGCTCTGAAACCACGCAGTAACAAACCTTTCTGATCCTTCCGCAACCGAGCAATGTTCTCTTCCAGGCGCTTTCGCCCATCGCTCTCCTTGAGGATGGCTAAAAAGAAGAAATTAAGGATTAGGGACATTAAAATTAAAATATTTCAACAACAAGACCCATGCCTCCCGCCTACACTGCAGATTCTGTAAAAAATACCATCCCTTGTGACAGTTCCAAACCTTTAGGAGTTATTGGAAAAGGGTAAAATAGAGGCTTTCAGATAATTTGACTTTACTAATTTACTTTAACTTCAGTTTATTAAAACCTTCAAACTGTAGCCTGTGTCTGACTTCAGTCAGCGTCTATCTGGAAGAGATGGAAAGCAGAGAGGGCAGAAAAAAAACCTTCAGAGTACAGAGTGAACTCACCCTTAACGACCATCAGCACCGTGTGCGGACGATCCAGAGAGATTGCCAAACCTAATGCTTTGAGGAACCTTTTCTCATGAAGCAGATTAGAAAGCTCTTGTTCTCTGGAAAACAAAGCAGTCAGGAGTATGAGACAAGTATTTGGCATTCAGTACAGAAAGTAGCTGATTTGGCAGTAATGGTGTGCAGAGGTTGAATGCCATGAAGTGAACAGTGCATGCCACTGAATGGTTCAGTGCCCTCACTGTGGAGGTAATTACCCTAGGCATGTTCAAGGGATTCTTGGATTACTCAATGCTGGCTGAAGCGGGACAAAATGAAAGCAGGTTTCAGGGGTTTGACATGCTTTATCTTAGGAGCACCAATCCATTATCAAGCTGACAATATTATAGCAAGGATTTGCAGCAATAAAACTTCTATGAAGCAGAAAAGCCTCTGGTGCCATGGCAGCATCTAAACCTCTACAGGACAGCCTTCAAATCAGGGGGAGTTGGATGGCTCTAAGTGTGGAGATTTTATCCAGACATAAGGCACCTTTCATGGCCCACTACTACCCACAATCAACTTACTTCATAATCTGCTCCTCCCGTTTAGCTTGTGCCTCCTCCTGTTCAATTTCAGTGACATCCTATAAAACCAGAATATAACTTTGTCATACCTTGTTTTAATTCAGATGAAAGAGCCACTAAGTGATGAGAAAATCATTTTCTGCAGCAAGATCTCCAGTCAAGTCGTTTACATGTTAAATCCAACAACTCACAATTCCCTCCAAGCTCTCTCTAGAAGACCAGTGCTGGAAAGGCCACTTAAAGACCAACTCCTGTTCCTTTTAAAGCATCAACTGGAGAAATTCAACGTGGTCAAAAAACCCCAAACCAAACAAAATAAAAAATATCCAAGATATGTCTTACTGATGTAATTGCAAGGTGCATAAAATGAGGACAACATGTATCATGCTGGAACAGTGAGGAAGAAATCACTGAGATACTGAACGCTGCAAATGCATTCTGATCAGTAACCCAGAAAAGAGACACAAAGACCCTGCACTGTACCTTCCACAGTGTGATGGAGGAGTCGCTGGATGCTGTCACAACCATGTCATCTTGCTTGTTAGAGTGAAGACCCCAGATTTTATCTTCATGGCTATCTAATGTTTTTACACACTCATTCGTTTTAATTGTCCAGAGTTTTAAGAGCCCATCAGAACCACTTTTGGAAGAAGAAAAAAAAAACAAAACAAAAACACAATCTCAGAAAATCACTGGATAGACCATTCTTGCTCTACCCCACCCAAAATACTGAATAAACTCATTCCAGCACCTACCAAATATGAGCAGAATTAACCAAACATCTTGAGAGATCTAAAGAATTTCAACTTGTTCCTGGTAGTACTGGCACCCCCTGGGGTGATGCCATCTTGGAATGCCCTACTACCTACACTTCTTCATACACTTCAACGCTCTCCTGGCGTTTCTGGTCTGTTACATTTCAGCCTTTCTGTAAGAAAGGGCAATTCAGGAGATAAACTGCATTCTTTCCTGCTTCTAGCTGGAGAACAAACCTTCTGCAGCTAACAGTAAGAATTTAGCCCTGGCTGCTCTTGCATCACCAAAAGCAGTAAGGTGAAATGCATCCTGAGCTCTGCCCTGTGGTGTATGTCACTAACCCAGCAACATCAGTGGAGCTAACTGGAAACATAGTGTAACTGGAGAGGAAAACAAGACACATCTCTGCTACATGACATAAAGATGGCACTCTCCTATCAGTCTCTCTAAAACTAAATCCACTGCACAGTCTTGCTGCTCATACCAGCTATGTTTTCTGAATAATTCTGGCTTCTTGTGTAGGCACTTACCCACTGAGCAGCTGTGTTCCTCGGCTTACAAAAATGATTTTCAGTACAGAGGCATCATGACCTTCAAAGGTCTGGAAAACAAGAAAGCAGCTCCAAAGTATTACAGCTGTTGCCAGGTTTTCAAAGAAGATCCTCTTTCAAGGGAATAATGCCCAATAATACCAAAGCCCAGATAGGTAAATTAAAAAAAATGTGTGTGTGTGTGTGTATATATATATATATATATATATATATATGTATGTATATATAAAATAAATCAATCTGTGTAGCATGTGAGAGTTGCCTAGAGCAAGGAGCAATCTGAGCTGTCATTACCTTCAAACAACTGAAGTCCTGAAGACCCCAAAGCTTTAGGGTTCCATCTGCTGAAGAGGTGGCCAAAATCTGATCCACTGGAGAGAACTGCACACACCAGATTCCACGCTTATGTCCAGTGAAGACACCCAGCAAAGAGCAATCAGAACAGGACCACAGCTTGGCCAGCCGGTCCTGTGAGCCCGTGGCAATGAGCTTGTCGTTTGGAGAAACTGCCACGCTGTTTATGTCCTGCAAAAGTCACAGAAACAGAGAGCAAAGCAGTTTAAGTCTGCTTTTGCTGTCAGAGAGCCAGGAATTGCAGGGTATAAAACAGGAGAGCATTTAAGTACTAAAAATATGCTCTCGCATCAGGTGGAACTTCACCTTGTCATGACCTCTCTCAGTCACTTGCGCATGAAGGGTTTCTGGACTGGAGATCAAGGCTGCTTTTGCTTTGGAAGTGAGAGACTCTGGGATATTCCACACTTTTATTGTGCAGTCCTGGCTGCTGGTCACTATAAAGCTTTCTTTCAACCTGAAAGAGAGAAAAGAAGCACGCCAAGCATAAGAAAGCAGAACAGTGGTTTTCACCGCACTGAGAAAAGGCCTTGTCCTCTCGGAATCCACACAGTCACTCTGCTGTGACATTAAACAGAGCATGAGTGCTTTTGAAAGTTGTCTTTCATTTTACTTAAGCCCCTGGGATAACCTCCCTCCATTCAGCAGTTAGCCAAAACACTGCTAGCTTTCTTCATTTGCACACTAAGGTTTGTGGCAACTTTTGAACAAGCTAGGCCTCCAGAC